AGTGCGTAATAGTGAAATCGGGAGTATAAAGGCGAAAGCTGACCGGTGAATATTTAATAAACTATGTGGAGCGCAAGTTCGTCTGCTCCTTTTGCAGGAGTTGCGGTGACGTCAGAACGCCGAGCTCTGATTGGCTCCGATTGAAGGATAGTGGGTAGACCTTGTGGGCAACCTGGCGATTCCAAGCGGTTGGCCCAGGCTGCCCCTCCGACAATCATAAGTGGTCATCTTGGCCACGAGGGGGCCAAGGGCAACTGGCCACGCGAGCGGCGCTCCGCCGCTGATAAAAGGCCATTGCAGCGGAGCGGGTTTTGCTCGACTTTGCCCAGGCTGGATATTGGTTGGGTGGCGAAACGAAATTAACGCCGTTTACCAGACGGCAGGATTGTATTCGCGGCCAAGCGTTCCCGTTAAACTTTGCCGGGCAGATGCCTTTACTTCCAGACAGCGTGCTCAAAGCCGTGCAAAAGTGTTCCGGTGAAGACAAACAGAAGCAGCTCCAGCAACTGCTGGAACCCTTCTCGCCGATGTTCACGGAAAGACCTGGGTAAACCGATCTCCTACAGCACCGCAACGAAACCAAGGATGCACCTCCCCGGAGGTGCAATCCGAGACCCATAAGTGCTCACAAGCGCGAACTTCTTGATGCGGCGCTATTGGAAATGATCGACACAGGCGCAGTACGTCAGTCAAAAAGCCCGTGGGCTTCCCCGGTAGTCCTTGCTCCAAAGAAGGACGGCACAGCAAGGCTTTGTGTTGATTACAGGCGCCTAAATGAAGTGTCAGTCAGAGACAGTTACCCGTTTCCTAGTATTTCCTCAGTAATGTATGCCCTTGGAAACGCGACTGTTTTCACAACCCTCGATTGCAGCCGCGGATTTCTTCAAATCGAAGTTCATCCGGCTGATGTAAAGAAGACCGCATTCATTTGCCATAGGGGGTTGTTCGAATTCACTCGCCTTCCCTTTGGTTTGTCCAACTCTCCCGCCAGCTTTCAACGCCTAATGGACGTTGTCCTCGGTGACGCGAAGTACGAGTTTGCGATGGCGTACATGGATGACGTAGTGGTCTTTTCACGAACATTCGAGGAGCATCTCGTGCACCTTCAGATCATACTCGAACGAATGCGTCAAGCCGGCCTTACGATTCATCCAGATAAAGTCCAGTTGGCATCGCCTGTAATCAACCTTCTCGGATTTGTTGTGGATAACGGAACGCTGCGGCCGAATGAAGATAAGCTGCGCGCAATAACGGAGTACCCACCCCCTTATGACGTCAAAAGCCTACAGAGATATCTCGGGATGATTGCGTTTTATAGAGATTTTATTCCGCAATGCGCTGAGATAACTGAACCCCTGAACCGATTGCTCCGCAAAAAAACGAAATGGTGCTGGGGGCAAGAGCAGCAAACCGCATTCGCGTGTCTTTCAAGGGCTGTGACTGAAAACGCGTGTTTAAACCTGCCCGACTTGAATCGTCCGTTCGTCTTGCAGACCGACGCAAGCGATTACGGATTAGGAGCAGTCCTTCTGCAGGAACATGACAGCGTTCTTCGTCCCGTAGCTTTCGCCAGTCATACGTTAACCGGAGCGGAGCGAAACTACTCAACAACCGAAAAAGAGTGCCTGGCAATTATTTTTGCGCTTAAGAAGTTTGACATGTACCTTGACGGCGCTTCGTTTAGCATTCAAACTGACCACATGGCTCTCTCGTGGCTCAAAGGGCTTCAAAACCCTGCAGGACGACTCGCTCGATGGGCCCTTTCGCTCCAGCGCTACAAATACACAATCGAGTACAAGCGTGGAGTGGCTAACCACGTTGCAGATGCGTTGTCCCGTGCTCCACTTCTCGGGCAGGAAATGCAGGTGGATCCCGACTTGGTGGCACTGGCCAATGCGGCGCCCATCACACCAGAGTCGCGGTGGGGAACCCTGGTGAGCAGAGAGGAGCTCCGAGCGGCCCAGCTGTCCGATGGACTTTGTCAGAAGGTGATGCACCAGCTGGCAGAAGAAAACTCAGCCGACGCTGGGAATCCCAGAGACTTGGACTCATACCTGCTCAGCAGCGACGGCATCCTGCTGCGATACATCCCCCAGGCGGACGATGGGTCGAGCGGCCCGCCATTCCGGTCTGTAATACCACGTAAACTGCGTAAGTCATTTATAAGATATATGCATGATCCCGCCTTGGCAGGCCACAGCAGTGGGAGCAAAACGTACGAAAAGTTGTCCCAAATTGCAACGTGGCCAGGTATGAGGCAGGATGTGATGAGGTACGCTCGTAGCTGCCCGGTTTGTCAGAAGGCAAAACCCCGAGGTGGCCAACCACCAGGTTTAATGCAGTCGGTCAAAAGCAAGTACCCCTGGGAGTGTGTTGCCTGCGACGTTGTCGGTCCCTTTCCCCGTAGTCCACGCGGCAATCAGTATTTGCTAGTAGTGACCGACCATTTCACAAAATGGGTCGAAATGTTTCCTTTGCGCAAACTAGACTTTAAGAAAATCTGGGACTGTCTTCTCGAGACGTTCGCGCGCTTTGGCTTTGCCGCAACGCTTATTACAGACAACGCTTCTTATTTTGTTAGCAAGGTGTTCGTGGATGCGTGTAAGGCGCTAGGCATACGGCACAAACGGACTTCGCCCTACCATCCACAGGCGAATATCACGGAAAGAGTGAACCGTAACCTGAAGCAGATGCTTGTATCGCATACAGAGCGACACAAAGACTGGGACGCGAAATTAGCAGAAATGGCATTCGCTACCCGCACAACAATCAACCGGTCCACGGGTTTTACTCCGGCCCAACTTAACTTTGGAAAAGAGCTCGTGTTTCCCCTGGGAAACGGCCTCCTTTGCACAGATCCTGCAAGCACGCAGCGCACAACCACGCAGTTCGCAGAAGATCTCCGGAAGCGTTTCACGGAGAACCTGCGTGAAGCTCGAGAGAGCCTCGACGTCTCGAGACTGCAGCAGGCAAACCAGTACAACAAGGGGAGGCGAAATCTGCAGTTCAAGGTAGGAGATCTGGTACTGAGGCGAACTCATCCGCTGAGTGATGCTGCTAGAGGCTTCACGGCCTCTTTAGCAAAGAGGTGGGATGGCCCCTACCGTGTTAGTAGCAAGCTCTCCAACCTGTCTTATGAGCTGGTGCATTGTGAATCTGGTGAAGTGTGCGGGTCTATTCATGTCGCCGACCTAAAAGCTTTCTATGAACCCGAGGAGGTAGATGTGTCGCAGGTTCCAGATGACGACTATCCGGACCACCTCTCGGAAGATTCCACACCGTCTCTACCGCGGTACAACTTGAGACGGCGGTGAAGACGACCGGGAGTAGCACGAGTTCTAAGCGTATTATCTTCATGCCCTCTTCGGTGTTTTGGGGGGGGAGAAGAGAAATGGTCCGCGCTCCCGCATGCACAGTGGGACAGGCATCTTTCGTGTGCGCGGCTACTTTTTCCTACCGCGCCATGGCCTCATGTTGTTTTTAATTTCTAGTTCCTCGTGCCAGACAGCGGCGACGCAGCTCCCATCATCAGACCACCCCCCATGGCTGCATCGGTACTGTCCGGAAGTACTGACGTCGGACCCGTGCTCGCTCATCTGAGAAGACCCTTGCTGACCAAGAAGGAAGGCCCCCCCGAAGACCATCAAAGACGTCCTCTGTTTTCGTTTTTTGGAAGGGGGGAGATGTGTGGGCAACCTGGCGATTCCAAGCGGTTGGCCCAGGCTGCCCCTCCGACAATCATAAGTGGTCATCTTGGCCACGAGGGGGCCAAGGGCAACTGGCCACGCGAGCGGCGCTCCGCCGCTGATAAAAGGCCGTCGCAGCGGATGCGCGGGGGCTGTTGGGATCGCGGCGCAGGCGATAGCGGTCATTAAATGTTTACGTGTTGTTGAACTGGTGTGCTGTGTCATTCTCCGAGACGGGTAGCAGCAAGGGAAATCCCACAACCTCGAAGCAAGCTGCCTCTGAGGTCTACCTACTATCCTTCTTCAATCATAGCCACTCAGAGCTCGGCGTTCTGACATCACCGCAACCCCTGCAGAAGAAGCAGACGAACTTGCTCTCCGAGTGCAAGTCGTCTGCTTCTTGCGCAGGAGCTTGCGTTGGCAGGTGACGTCAGAGCAACGCCGACACCTCTGATTGGCTTTGATTGGAAGGATAGAGGGCAGACTTCAATGCTAGATGCCTCAAAGCCTACCCACTATTTTTTTTTTTTTTTTTTTTTTCCGATCAGCCAATGCGAGCTCGGCGTTGATATCATCGCAACCCCTGTGCTAGAAGCAGATGAACTTGTACTCCGGATTACCTAGGCAGAAAAAAAAAAGGGAGGGGGGCGAAGTGAAAGCCAATTTTGATCGCGCCCTAGGCGCATTTGGGGAGGCACTCACTTGATCGAATGACGTTTTAGCGAACGCCCACGTTTCATCGAACGACACTTTAGCGAATAGTCGGACGCCGCGAAGCGGCGTTTTCGGGTGGGCCAAATGGGTTCACATTTTTGTAATGAGTTGCCGAAGACTGTCGCCGCGAAGCGGCGTAAAGCGCAGCGCGACGGATGGGTTAACGCGCGCCCCCGTTATTCGCTAAAACGACCATTCGCTCAAATGTCGCCGTTCGCTAAAATGTCATTCGCTCTTGTGATATGGACCCGCGCATTTGTCACCAAAACCAAGAGACGCTACTGGGCGAAAGGGAAAGCTCTCCTTTTCACGGCTCTTCTCATTTTCGTACGGTCCGAGTCACTCGGACGCCGCACGATCGGCGAACTGCACATGCGAACGCGTTTCCTTTTTTTTCTTCCAGCCGCCGCACGCGATAGACAGCGCGTCGAGCGGCAGCAAAACATAAAATCTACCAGCGCATCCGCGAAGCAGGAGTTGTCTCTACTAACCCCACCCTCTACACTACGCCGTTGCTTTGTGCCGTGTGCAGAAATGTTTACAGGCGCCAAGTGACGTAAGAGGAACGCACGTGGGTTGACCGCGTGGCGCTGTCGTCGCCATATTCGCACTCCGCTTGCTTTGGGTTGGCTGGCGGCGACGGCGAAGTCAAGTGTGGTGCACTCGCAAGCTTCGGAGCTCGGCGGGGTCGCTACAGCGCGCTCACCGATTCCTTTTTCTTCGAGATACGTCGGAAAAATGAGCGATGAAGAGAGAGACGTGGACATAGAAAGCGACGTGAGTACGGCGTGACCGCGGAAAAAGCATCATCCCTTCTGTGCTCGGTCGGCGAAGCCGCTCTGACGCTTCGGAAGTGACCGCTTTTCTAGTCACGGCGTAGTGTTTTGCTCGAAATGTGCCCCCGATCCAATGGAATCATGCCGTCGCTGGTTTGGTGGTCCAAAGAAACGCTCCTGTGTTTTTGGCCCATCCAACCATGCTTCGCTGGATCCAGCATGGGATCGCACGGGCAGGTGATCTTGCTGCGCGCTGGTGGCGGCCTTTTCTTTTTCTTTTTGTGCTCCGTACACCCATGTAGCCCGAGTATCTAACGTTTTTCTTCGTTTCATTTTTCTTTTCGCTGCAGGGTGAAGAGGTAAGCCCACCTAACGTGTGGACGGTACTTGCCGGGTACGACGGTGTTCTTTGGGACGGCTTGAAACCACTGAAATCCGGTACTGGATCTGCATTATTGTCACTCGCGTGGACAAAAAGAAAAAAAAAAAAAAAAAAAAAAAGCGATACGATCCGATTCAAGATGGCAGCCACCGTGATGGCAGCCATGTGTGTTCTCACGTGACTGGCTGCTGCCGTTGGCATCGGTTGGGTGCTCGTGCAGATTAGCGATGATCCACTGTGTCCTCGCGCTGTTTTTATGTCGCGTTTCTTTGCTTTCGGGTCTGCGCCGATCGATTGTGACAACGCACCGTAGACTCCGCCGACGTTAGGTGCGGCCTGCTACTGTTGTAGCGCGGTGACTGGCAGTGCCCGTATGTTGCTCTCAGCTGGCGGGCTGGCGTCCATGCCTACCCTCTCCCTGCTATTTTTGTTATGTTATCCTCATCGACGAACACGTTATGTACTCGTTTCTCTTGGCGTGTGGACGCGGGCTTTAGAGTCGTGCAACATAAATCTAGGTGGCCCTTTTTCTTTTCTTTTTGCTGTTCTTGGCTTAGAATGTGTAGGGCTGTTCTCGCCCCGTGCCTAAAAATACGGCGGCGATGGCTTCGACCTTCACGCAACGCCCGCTTACGCAACGGCTCTACCCGTTGTTTTCAGTTTCGCCGTCCTATCTCCTGGATCTCTGATAAAACGAAAGAAAACGGGTGCGCAGTTGGTTTTTGTGCCCGCTGATCAGCGAACGCCTCGAGCCATGCAGTCTACCCAGCTAAAAAATTGTGGCGGCAAGAAAACTGGACCTTTATTTTTTTTTTGTTGTTTTGCATGATTTAGCTGTTTAATCTGTGCGCATAAAAAAAACAAACAATACAAACAAAAAACTAGTTTTTTGTTTGTATTTGAATAATGTAGGTTGCGGATTTTACTTTAAAAATCCGGGACGCTATCATTCGCAAGATGAGTCTGGACGCATCTGCGATTACGAACGCTTCGTTCGTGGATTGTGTGTATATACAGGGTGTTTCAGAAAACGCAGGCCAAATCGCTCCTGCGAAAACTAAGCATCGCACAGAAAAAATGTTTGTGCCGTTTTGGTGTCTGCCCAGTAGCCCATTTAGAAAAGAACAGTTTCTTTTTTAAGTTCTTTAGAAAGTAGCCTTTTATTTGTTCTTTTAAAGGCCATAGTTTCAATTAGAAACTTACTGGGCATCATCAATAACCCTTTTTAGACAAGTATAAAGCATGCTGAGCATTTTACCATGTTTTGAAAAACCCTTCATTTCTGACGCGTACTCTCGTTTCGGATTCTTATCCAAGCGCATCTTGGCGACTGCTGGTAGTCGCGCTCTGGTTCCAATTTTAATATTTATTAATCACTTTCAAGGTTGCTACAGTATACACTTTTGAACCTGAGGCTGCATGGAAGCTTGTGTTTTTGTGTGAGCAAGAAATTGTCCAGTGGATTCTGAAAGCTGTGACATTTATGCCTAACACTATTATAAGCAAAAAATGTGCTACATACAAAGGTGATGGCTGTAATATATCTAGCACTTACTTTACTTGCCTGCTGTAGTTCAGTTGCAGCACACTGGAAACTATTACTTTTTCCAAGGGGAAGTGATAACTTTGAGCCTCATTTTCAGTTAACTGCAAGTAGCAGATGTCTGCTCCATTTTACAATTTCGGTTCAGGGCACGCCGTGCTTACCTCGAATTAAGTTTTTTTGATCACATGTAGGACGTGCTCTTTCTGTTCTCTGGAATCATCATTTTTTAGTTTGTCTGTGTCACGGTGGATGGATGGATAACGGCAGTACCCTTTATAACGGGTGGTAGCTTGTGCCACCTAGCCTAAAAACAAAAACCCGTTTTCCCCTTTCACCCCCCCCCCCCCCCCCCCCCCCCCCCCCCCCCCCCCAAGCCAATGCATTTCTGTAACTATCACCAGGTCATGAGGATGATTGCCCAATATACCGTTTACACATTGTACATATTGGGCAGAAAAAAATTAAAAAATTGTCCTTTGGCAAGGGCGTCACCAATCTTCCTCTGATTGAACCTAGTCGGCGTTATCCTAATACCTTGCCCACTGGGAGACTGGGTTGAAATTTTGGGCCGGAGCTGCACGCAAAGGAGTCCCAATTTTCCTTCGTCCCACCCATCCCCAGCCGTGCTAGTTAGTTTCATTCAATTCTCCCCAGGTATTCTCCACCAGTCTTCCAATCTCCTTTTTGTTGTCAAGGTGCACTTATCATCCATTCTTCCATTCTCGTCTGCAAACCCGAGCGCACCAGCCAAATCCGTCGTTCCCTCCGGGAGGGTGGGAGCAAGCCCTGTGCACCTCAACATCACGTGTATTAAACAACGATTGCCAGGTCTGCGCCGTCCTGTCGTGTATGTTTCTGTACCCTTGTCCAAGTTGTTTGCCGCTGTTCCTTGACGAGATGTTCAGCACATGTTCTATTGTATCATCTTCCTTTTGGCATACGGCACACAGCATATTCATTTCCTCATAGTTTGTCCTATATGTCCTAGTCCTCAATACTCCTGTTTTAGCCTCAAATAACGAGCTCCCTGGTGAATTATATCAATGTTCCTTCCATATTTCCTGTTTTCGTCCTCCTATACATAGTTAAAGCAGATTTGTTTTTTTTGCATTCTTTCCTCCCAGATTTTTTGGCTTCTTTTATTTCGTTTTTCACAGAGGTAGTCTGTTCTGCTTTTGCACTTGACTGTTGGTAATTTAATTTGAGTTTTCAGGCTCAGTTTGTCCAATTAGTGCTCAGACTTTTCATGTATAGATGGTTATATACCTTTCTCGCCCATTGTGTACCTTAAATGGTGTCTTACCTTTGTTCAAATTTCAACTTGCTGATTGCTTCTCTAGCCTCGAAAGATGCCCAGCCCATGTCTCCCTGCACCCCTTCATTTGGTGTATCCCCATGCGTCCCCAGTGCCTGTCTGCCCATGCTCCTCTGCTGCGTCTCCGAGCTGAACTGGACCTCTGATTTCACGACTGAATTCCGGAAAGGGTCTATAAGACCCTTTCCGGAATTCAGTCTGGCCTCTTTGATCACTATCATCATCATCTGAAAACGGCATATATGCTATACTAATGGCGGCCTTCTGTTTACTGATGAAGGAAGAAGTTGAAGATGCTCCTAAGCAGATGATTCGAGGCCTATACATTTTCGATGTTAGCGCGGCGTGAAGCAGGAATTGGACGCAAGAGCTGCGTAAGCGTTCATTTCTAACTCGGTCCCAGTCAATCTGTTAGTAGCACTCACTCGGCTTCAAAGCCCCTTGATGTATAGAATTCTATCAAGGCGTCTATGTGGGTTGGCGTTTCGTTCCGACTGGCTGCATTTGTTTCGCCATTGACACTAAAGGAGATTGAAAAATAATTGCAGTGAAGTGCACATTCTCGTATAGCGTTGACCTTTAAGTGACGGTGCCCCATTAAATACTGCAGACCACAAGTTCATTGCCGCCATTAGTATAGTAAAAGATAAACTGCCATTTGAGTCACCAGATGGCACTGAATTCCGGAAAGGGTCTATACCGCGGTGCCAAAAGGCAGTCCCAGCACCGTGATTTCTTTTAATATTTTCCTAATTTCCTATCTTAACTTACAAATGTCCAATCTGGCCCGCAAGAAATTGTCTATTATGCCTTTTTTTTGTTCCCTCGTGGTGGTCGAATTAAAAATGGCAGTAGAATTCTTTGCATTCATTTGAATGGCTTACGAACATGGCTAGAGCCTTTGAATCAGCCGGTGGCCATTTCAAAAGTGTCTGAATTTCCACACCGAAAGTGTTCTCAATTTTAACCAACTTTGTGGTTCTTTTTCTTTTTTTTAGATTGATTTTTTTTTTTTTGCAGCTTAGCATAGCAATTTGAAATGAGTAAAAACAACTCCCCGACATTTCACAATGCTTGGTCTGTTTGACATAAAAAAATGTAACAACCTCAACATAGTTACATTGGTGTCGCACTAAATATGTATATATTATTTAAATCTAAAGTTGGGCATGCGAACAACAACAAAAAACAAAGGATGAGAAATAGAGAATGTATTACTTGAAGTAAGCTACATGTAGTGACCGTCTACTTGGAATGGAGAGCGTACTTGTTAGTCCAGATAACTATATACAACTGGCCTCCTCTGCATTCATGTATTAAACTATAGACATTAATGCGAGCGGATGCCGGCTGGTGGGCATCCACGTGTAAACACTGCGTAGAGTCCGAGTACGAAGGCCACAATAGTCATACGAAAACTGTTTGCAGACGGGTTAGAATCTTACACGTATCAAGCAGACATGCTCGGGCGTGTCCATATATAATTCCGTCGTCGCATCTGTTCCTAACACTGCACCAATTGTATGATTTACGAGTGGCGAGACGTTCGATGAGCACGCATCATTTTTGTGCCGGTTCGGTGTTTGTGTGCCGTCTGTTGCGACGGACGTGGCGGTGTTTGTTGCTGCAGGCGGACAAGAGGGCGCACCACAATGCTCTGGAGCGCCGGCGCCGGGACCACATCAAGTACAGCTTCAGCAGCCTCCGGGATGCCGTGCCCTCGCTCCAGGGAGAGAAGGTGCGCGTCCTCTCCTTCCTCCTCGGCCCGTGGCACCGTCCGGCCTAGAGCCACCGATTGAGCGACGCTCAAGGCCACGCGCTCACTTCTCGAACCTCTCGGGATCTCTTGGGACACTGGCGCCATCTGGCGGGTAGCGATAGGACGCGTTTATTTTTTGCTCATTTCGTTCTTCCTTTCTTGGCTCGAAAAACTTTCAACGATGTCATAAACTACCCTCATAGATGGTGCATAAATTTGATAGCTCAAAACCTTTGCTCCAGTGAAATGCAGTTTCAGAGGCTCTTCATAGATGGCACCATCTCTAGTGTTCTCTCGTCGTAAGAAATGGCAAGAGCTTGCTGCTAAGCGAACGAGGATGTACGAATAGGCCTAGAGAGTGTCCCCCAGCTGCCGCGCTTCTGGCGCTTGGTGCAGACCGTGCGCAGTTTGCGGTAGGTACGATTTGAACGTGCGATTTCCCGAGTTTTAGATGTGGTGTCGGGTAGCCTGGGAGATGTGTTGTTTTGATCTCTTGCATGTTGTTTTAACATACCTGGAGGGCGTGTTTTCTGCGATTTCGGATAACTGGCTGCATGGTTTCAGGCACCAGGGTGGCCAAAGCGTCGCCACTCTGAAGCGTAGCTTATCAGGTGTCCCTAGTCCGGACGGTTCCTCTAGTTTTGGCCCTTTGCTGTGTCTCCTGTTATAACCAACCTTGACAGAAAGCAATACTGTACGAGCATTGATATTTTTTACATAAGAATATAGTGACTGACAAAACGGGAGCACAGTGTTCGGGACGCCCATGCATTGGTTACTCGTGCTTTGTCTGCATGTGCATGCTCGAAACTCGCGACAGTACAGCTGAAAGACTGCACTACCCTTCTTGTGATTATTGTGATGTCTCAAGGTTAAGGTGTTAGAGGAAAATAACATAAAAGACGAAAACTGGACAACCTTAACACCGTAACTTTGCTGGCACACTCCATTTCCATGAGGTATACCTTTTTTTTTGCATCAAATGCTGTCAAATGTTGTATTGCTTTCTGCAAATAGATGAGCTGCAATGTTTACAAAGGTATGTGTGGAGCCACTTTCTTGTCGGCGGTGTTTATGTGCACCTGGGCTTAAAGGAAAGCTAAAGCACTTTTCAAGAAGCAGGCTTCTATAGCTTTTTGTCCCGTGAATTCAGTTTCGGCACTTACCATGGGCAGAAGTAAATGCAAACCGCATTTATTTTGAAAAATATGTGCAGCAATTGCCTCCGGGCATGCGGCAGTCCTTTGTGCCGCCTGTTATCTGTCCAGAGCATTGTGACGTCATCGACCCAGCTGATGATGTCACTTTTTCTAGTTTTTCTTCTCCGCTCTCGCCCTTTCCTACCGTCATAGCGCCGCAACGGGTGGGTCTATGTCTCAAAATTTTAATTTGCTACGACAACGCTCATATTAACAAGATCGAAATAAAACTTAAGGAACAAAATTTTTAAGGTTACACTTTTTACTGTCTGTTAGAATTCAATATATTACACCTTTTACTGTTAGAAGTCAAAGACCTCTTTAGCTTCCCTTTAGTGTCTGTACCAAAGTTGGGAGGACACCAATGGTACCAGGAAAGCCAGCTACACAAGCAAAGTGTTAAGGATATATATGTCTGTGTATAAAAACATTATGTCTGTGTAAAGCAAAACCTGTTACGATATGTCTATAAAACGTGGTAGCTTGGCTTACCTGGCTGACATCAGTGTGGCAACAAGTGACCAATCGGAGAACTTAATTCTTTTTATTAGCAGACATTATTCTAACCATACTCTAGATAGATTAAGTGACTCCCAGACCAGAAGGCTTCAATGATTACGTCTATATAGCTATATATGCTGGTTAGGGACAGATTATTATGCACTTTAAGATTAACACATGTTTGCTGGTCAGATTTCATGTGTTGGAGCACTCCCCTATTTCGGGGTTTGTTTGTATTTGTTGTTGCGCAGTTATTTAGAATGACAGCTTGGTTTTAAATGGGGACCAGTTATGATTAATTGTGGGTGTCGGCATCACAAGTGTTTAGTGACTGGTCTGCAATTTCGGACGCATGAAACCTGCTCCTGTTGTTTCTCTGCCCATGTGAGAATGAGTAGCTGAGATGATGCCTGCCTTGTGTGGTGTGGGCTGTCTCCTTGGGCACGAGCGAGTGTTTTCCTGCACGGTACAAGCCTCAAAGGCATTTTTTTTATCTTGCTTTGTTGCAACGTCTCAAATTGTTGGGACTACCCACGTCCCAATTAGGCGAAACTTCACATGTTACCGGTGTTTGTCAGTATTTTTCAACTGGAATTTTTTGGGTTCCAGTGTCTAATTGTGTAACATGTACCCCCTGATAATTTGGGATTTGAGAGGGTTGGGGGGAACAACGTTAAAATTATTGTGTTGTCCTGAGCTTGCTGGTGGCATTGTGTGAAGTTTTGCAAAATTGTTTTTTCTGGGGTGGGAGATTTCAGTGGCCATCTCTAAAGCCACTGCATATGGCAGCTCTAGCTCCCAGAGTGACGACACTGTACAAAGGTGCATGGCACCAGAGAGCGGTGATAACCTTCATTTTGGCGTCAATGATCACCGTGGCAGCTGAATGACTAGCAGCCCCTAGCATCCATCCTTAATCACTTTGTTCGTTCAGGCGTGTTTGTTTGGGTCTTGGGTGTGACGCGGTTATGCGAATACAGATACCGTATTTTCTGGACTAAAAGTCGCACTTCCGTATATTCAGCTGTTTTCGCAGAAAAGTTGTTATATAAGTCGCACCTCTTCGTTGTTCACGCAATTAATTAGGGAGTTTTAGAATGACGCACGCCAAAGCTTTGTGTACGCAAAGAATAGTGTCACAGCCACTGCGCATGCGCCGAACGCTGGCCACGTTTTGTTTGCGCTTTGCTAGTGCTATTTTAGAGTATGCTATTTTTAGAAAATTGCATATGTGTGCAAAGAGTCTTTGTGCTCCTCCAGGAAGGATTCATGATGAGAAGTTGGGTAAAGCCAAGATGAGCACAGTTAAAAAATGGCGGCTCCCAGGCCCATGGCTGTAATCGCTTTGGTGGCATCGTGAGTGCAACGTCGGCGGCATCCTCGTGACCACGATTTCCAATACGGGACGACATTGCACTCGCTTTGGAAAACCCAGTAAGGTAGGCACCGACCAGCGGCAATTCAATGTTTGCGACTCTCAAACATATATTGGCAAAGGTACGGTGTGCGAAGGTCGGTACACCAGACCTCTCTTGGAGAGGCAACGCAAGCGTCCATGACCGCTTGACCGCTCGCATCGCATTCTGAGGTTTAAACAAACCTGAAATGTTACTCAGCACCAGAATCTTGTTTTTTTCTCAAGTTACAGCATTTCGTGTGTGAAATGAAAATTTTGACTATCTTGGTGACGTTGCAAGCGTGAGATGCTTGGTCTTTTGCGTTGTGGCGGAGAAACGCTATTCTCAAACCCCCTTGCGTAGCGTGCACTAAAATTGCGTACATTATTCTAAAACTCCCTATTTTCACTTTACGCGCATCAGTATCGCAAAATTAGAGTTTCGCACTGTCGGTTAGTTCACGCGTACTGTTTGACATGAAGTTCACGCACCGGCAGATGGATAAATCTTGACGCACGTTTTTCGGTACCACAAAAGAAAGATTGGCTAGCCGCCGGAACATGGCAGATAGAAACTACTCATGAAACGAAAACTAATAAAGACGCGAGAAACTTTTCTGCAATGGTGTGTGTACCAGCCCACTTAACTTTTAGTGTTACTGGACCAAAGCAAAAGAATACGAAACCATGGTTGAATTAGTCAATGTCGATCACATTCTGTAAAAGCTTTATTCTCACTGTCTTGCCTACCCACATTGAGCTGCTTCGAGGAAACCGTAAAATTTCTCACTTTCCGAGTCTGTTATGAAAAGTGTAGTGGAGTATGGCAACAGCAGTGCCTCCTGGAAAGGGCAACATCACCCACGGCTATAGTTACGGTGCTCTATGAAAGATAGATAGCCCGCAAAGCATAAACAAAAAAACGCATGTAACTTGCATTGTTGTGTAAGACGCACCAAGAAAAACGGATTAAAAAAAAAGTGTGACTTATACACTGGAAAATACGGTACTGATTATTGGACTTTGGCAGAGAAGCAGTTTGAGAACGAAGTCCGCTTCAAACTATGTGCATTGGAAAGGGGTGTTTTTTTTAGCATCTTCAGGGCGAAGAAAAGAGCAGACAATGCTGTGTACTCGGTTAACTTCTCAAGACAGGACAGTGGGTGGTCATGTGGCAAAAGATTAATGGATTACAGGTGGTCCTGCGAGCACGTAGCTGGCACCTCCCTAATAGCTTAGCGGTGATTTGAGTATGGCTCTGTCTGAACTTTTCGGTAGGCTGTACAGTCTAGTCTGTTGTCACGACAACTCGACTGCACCCTGCCGCAGGTTAAGGAAAGCGGGGCAAGCTCCTTCCACAGAGCCTTTTTTCACTAAAGTGGAAAGAGGTTTTGCGAAAGAAGCTTGCCCTGCTTTTTATAACCTGCAACAGGACATAGCTTCATTTGTCTCTTTGACGGTGCACAATCTTCTCTGACGGATCGTGGCAAGGCTGCACAGGGAAAAACGTGCCGTTACTCTGGGAGCTGGTGTGCACAGAGGTTGTCCGTGTTCATTTCCCTTTCTTTGTACCACACCAGCACTGTAGTCCGTGGTCGCTCGATGCTTGGCGGTGTGGTCTCTGAGTGTGATGTTTGCATTCTTTCTGGTTTGCCCTCAGAATGGCTCCTCCTCTTCAAAGACGGCGCCTAAGGTAGCACACCACCCCCTTCCTCATTTGTTGCCATCTTCCTCACCGGGGGAAAGGGAAAGAGAGAAAGGCTCGTATGGCAGGGGTCTTGATGCAGAAGGCCCTGTTGCATGCCTCCTCATTTTCTCGAGAGATTTCATTGGTTGTCTTGGATTAGCAGAACCTGCACCCCCCCGCATCTTTGAGAGAGGACGTTACGAATGTTACTAGTCTGTAGCTTCAGAAGGTATGTCTTACTTTACGAAGTGTCTTGTGCGAGGTTATTCTGCCGACCGGATTAGGTGCCTCTTGTTTTGTATGCATGCCATACGCAGAGGGCAGCGAGTCCCTCTATTACACCTTAAAGGGAAGATGGGGCACTTCTACATTTGAGAAAAAATGCTTGAATTGCATTCATTTGGCCTTTAGAATAGCAGAGATCACAATTATATTTCAATGCGACGCGCCGGAGAGCAATACGAGCAATTTGAAAATAGGGCTGAAGCCCCGCCTCCCTACCCTTGGCAAGCCAAAAGATCCGTCGATGACGTCACGGACAGCGACAGTCTTTCGCTTTTTTCTCGCGTTTAAAAACACTTGCGCGGAAAATGGTTTTGGTATTCGGGTTCACGAGGTAAAAATACACTAGAATTCACTTCTAACTCATTTTTTTCAAGAAGCTCCGTAGCTTCCCTTTAATGCAAATAGTGGCACACTCTAAGCAATCGACCAACCGTGGGGAGCGTACTGTGTGACCTTTAGCGAAGTTCAGACAATGGCGGGTACTGCGAAGTTAAATGCGGCGTATTCGTAAGGACCACTCGCCGGCCGGGCTATCCCACTTTGACAGTTGCATCATGAGATTACTTTGTATGTATAGATGCCGGCTACTGACCTTTGGTATTGCATTGGAAGCTTGTGCCTGCAGTGTGTCACAGCCGGTGCTGACGAGTAAATTCGTCCGTCTTATATTTTCACCCCCCGTGCCACCGGGAAATCAAAAAGATGATGGTACTTTATTACCCGGTTCTTTGAGAGGACCACAGTTCTTGCATGAGGCACATACACACAAAATGAACAACTGGAAAGATATCAGAATTAGATGGTTACGGGGCGCATACTGAAACATGGTTTTTAGGAACATAGAAAGACGTTGATGAAATGGGGGTTTCAGAGACAGTTGCTTGCGGTTAATGGGGCCCGACTTTCCGAGATTGGAGAAGAGAGCCAGTGACATTTTTATGACACCATTGGCCAACAAATGGAGGGAGCATCTTTCTGGACGTAGTAAACACACCAGCTTGAGACCCGTTCGAGGCAGTGGGGTTGTAAAGGGTTGGGCGGTGGCGGCGGGCCTGGGGGGGAACTGAGGGCCTTTCTTTTTCCTCTCGGTGCCGGCCTTGCCGGTGGCGCAGGCCTCGCGCGCCCAGATTCTGAAGAAGGCGGCGGACTACATCCAGACGATGAGGCGGAAGAACACGGCCCACCTCCAGGACATCGAGGACCTCAAGCGGCAGAACAAGCTGCTCGAGGACCAAAGTGCGTCTCTCGCTTGCTCTTCTCTCTCATGCTAATCTGTCTCATTCTTCTCTTAAAGGGGCACTGACACCCCAAAGGTCGTATTTATTTTTATTGTCTAAAACGATGCAAGTTGCAGTCATAGACACGCAAAAAAAACCGCATCGCGAAAAAAAAATTTTTTGCGCGCGCGCGCCTTTTTATTTTTGTTGTTTGATTTTCCCGCCTCTCGCCTCCTCGCTTCTTTTGATCGGTGACGTCAAAAATCAGGAAATTTAGAGGCTTTGTAGGCGACATCTCTATAACATTTAATTACGGCAATCCTAAAACATGTTTTTTAACGCAATTGCGAACGCACTACGGCCCTTCTTTTAGAATTACCAAAAATCGGGAGTTCGTTGTGGTGCCGTCTCCTGGATTTGTATCCTCCCAACGAAAAACAGGCGATACCGCTCAAAACCGGTCCGCCGCAACGCCGCCGCTCGCTCCTTTCCTCCTCGCTTTGGGTCGCCATGGCAACAGCAGGGAGTGGTGAAAGAAAGTGGACTCTCAGGAATCCGCAATTTTTGACGTCAAGGCACTGGCGCCGATCGCACGGGAACTTCGAATTCGGCATTTGGAAATTGTTTTTTTACTTCACAAATACTGAATTCCAAAATCTCGAATTTTGAGGGTAATGTCCCGGCATCGTTTTCAATCGTTTCGGATAATAAAAAAAAAATATGATTTTTATGTGTCAGTGCGCCTTTAAGGCCTCACTCTCGCACACATTGGTACTGCGTTTGTCATACTGCAGTAGGCTCGCAATAACTCAAACTCTGATATTTCATACTTCTGGTTAATTCAAACAAATTTGAAAATTTAGGTTGTCCCACTATGTTTTTAATGTATTCATAAGCCACTTAATTCGTACGGTGTTTTCGTGTAATTCATACTTTTTGTTCTCGCGGCCCCGTTGAGCGCGCTTCTTTTCGGGCACCGGTGCACTGCAGAGAGGTGACACCCGCAAAGCTTGCTTCCTCGGGTGTCGCTTCCCCGCGGCGCACTGGTGCTCGGTGAGGAGCACACTCAACGGGGGGCTCAAGCATGAGCTATGAAAACGGGCACCGCGCAAAACTTTGCATAGAGACTTGCACGGGCGCTGTAACGTGGTGGCATGGTATAGGTCCACGTCACAGTGTCTGTGCAAGTTGCTATGAAACCTGTTGCCCAGTGCCCATTCTCATCGCTCATGTGTCTTCTGCTTAATAGTCCACATTAGACAACTTCTTGGCCCGATGAACAAATTTAATTTTGTTTCGAGTTGTCATGCGCTGTCTGAACAGTCTATGATCAACATTTTTGAGGGATAAATAAACTTGTCATGCATTTCACAATTGTTTTATGGGTGGCCTACCTGCTTATGATTAGTAGGCCTATGTAGATGAAATCATCAAATATCTGCTTTTTTATGTGTAGCCATTTATATGGCAAATCATAATTTTATCTTGCACCATATTTAGATGCATTTCTGATAATTCAAACAAAATGTGTGACTTTGTGGAGTTTGATCAATGAGAGTCTACTGCATGTCGGTACTGTGTCAGTTCAGGCAGTTGCATTTGAGTGGGATGCGCTGCGTTACGGCCATTTGTCACTGCTCTCGTGCACTACGAGGCTGGAATACACATGAAAACTACATTAGTAACACTTTCTTTGCTTGAAACTTTTACTTCTGCACTTAATGATATGGTTCCTTAGACCACTTTTTGTTTGTTCATGTTTGTGTTTTTACATAGTATACCACTGCTACTATGGCTTTCGGCGGAGGGATGCAGTAGAGTTTTTAGTAAATGAAAACACATGTGCATCTATTGGATAGCCCTGGCCCACTTGTGGTCTGCATATACTTAAGCTCTTACACATCATTCTTACACCATGGGCTTTGAATAAGTCTGACAACCTTACGAGCAACCATTATCCAGAGGTGGTATGTAGATGGTTAAAGATGGATGAATAAAAAATTGAGGAATGCATGCCGTCCGGCAGTGGGCAAGGATTGCCCAGTAGGTGGAGTCGGCGTGTTGCCTCACGTAAGCAGTCACAACGTAGTCTGTCGCACTCCAATGCAAATGCCCGAACCTGCCTTCAACTCTTACCATGTGTATAGTAGCACATGTCTTTTATGTTTTCGTGCAACGTGTTGGTGGCTGCGCAAGTCCGATCTCAGAGGCGTAGCGGAACATTCCGACATCTCTTGGGAGAAGGTTTTGCTTTCGTCGTGCATTCATAATTTTTTGGCAGGATGGTTTTAACTTTGTTGGTCAGTAGGAGGGAAACTTCCTTGAAAGGACTGCAAGATAGCAAGGACAGGCAAAAATGTCTGAACATGCACTGTTTGCCTCTATCCTCCATTTTTTTCTCTCTGTTGGTCTTCAGTGTGTAGAAAAGAAGCAACTAGACCAAGCCTATGCTGAGCTGAAGAGCAGCTCCGGCAGATTTTCACTCGCAGTGCAATTCCTAAAGAACGTAGAATGCGACATTTGGGTGTGGCTCTATGTCCTAAACAGCCGACCCCTCGAAGGGAGTTCATTGGTCTGACGACGCGTCTGTCGTTTGCAGTCCGTTCCCTGGAGAAGACCAAGGTGGCCAGCAGCGGCTACTCATCTGGATCCATGCTGGACTCTGTGAACATCAAGGGCGAGTCCATCTCTGCCTTCGACGGCGGCTCGGGCTCCGAGAGCTCCGAGGACACGGACAACTCTTCGCGGGGGTCCCGCAAGAAGCTCAAGACCAGCCCCAACTCAACCCCCCTCCACTCTTAGTGGGAAGGGAGCGAGGCTAATTGTACGGAACGGACCCCCGCTTTGCCCTCGCACCACCAGTAACCACAAAGTGCCCCCCCTGTCCCGCCATCGCCGGTAGTTTCCCTCCATCTGTGACTCGTAGACCAGTTGTGGTTACCAGGGCCTGTCGGAGGACACTCGGCTCTGGTTGGGCGTCGGCAGTGTGTTGCCAAGGTTGCAGATAACAACGGACGTTTGGAAAGCTATCGAGTAGACCAATTACAGTTACTAAATACTTGATGTCGGCGACCTATCACCGATGGCTGCGTACGTCCAGGAATTAATTGGAAAAACAGTCGCACAGATTATAGTCAGTTACAAATTAAGAAAAGTATTTGAGGGAAAGGAGGGCTGGGGAGGAGGAAGCAAACGGAATGCTGGAGAGGAGAGAAGGAAACCTTCTCCTCAGCCTTCCTTTCCCCTCGAAATCATTTCTTAACCTGTAAATGACTATAGAACCTACTGGAGGACATGATGTCGGTTCATCACCGATGGTTCCGGGGGTGACTAGGAACCACTTCTGGTTCGTAGTCATTCATGCCCATCGGTGCTTGTCTGTCGTAACGAATACTTGCTCAGTCGGGACAAATAACGGCCTTTAGAATGCACCTCTTCGTTCTCTGGTACCGCATTACTGCGTTTCCTACGATAACCTGCGTTGGGGGCTGTGGGTGTGCAGAAGTGCTGACCTCTCGTAGTTAGACGTCCGAGATATCTGTCCAAAGGTTGTTGTGATGAGGTGTCTGTCAACGGTTACCGTTGGTTGTCAGTGGTTGCCAGTGTTCCAGCGTTTGCAGGAGCCCCAGTTGTAGCCGAATCCCATTTACGACAACCTTTCGTAGCCGTTCCTTTGTCCATTGGCACTACCTAATTTCCACTGATAGTTTGGATGGTTGACAGGGGATTACTTTTGTGAGGGTGGGTTTGCAGATGCAGCTTTAAACTGGAACCAGTGACCGTGTCAGGCTTGTTGACCGCACCCTGCAGCAAAGTGCGAGACTTGCGCTTGGGATGTTTTGCCTCCTTGCACTGAAACGTTTCACTTATGGTTGCCAAGCGGCGGTGGTGCACGAAAAAGTGCATTTGTGTTCTGCCCTAGTTTAACTCGTCTACGGCTGTGCTCATTACCAGCCCTATGTCGTCACTGGTTAGCGTGTACCATACGTTGTGATTGGCGTGCATTTGTCTGAGAAATCTCGTTTGGACAGGGAGGTTTGGTGGAGCATGGCTCAGTCCATGGGGATGGAAGGTGTCTTTGGGGGGAGGGGGGACCGCCCCTTCACATTTTTATGGAGCGGCCAAGGCCGTTGACGTTTTAGGTATTTATATTTCGTGGCTGGTGGCTTTGGATACGTTGGGGTTGCCGACCCCGGCTGCGACTTTACCTTCTTTGCCTCTCTCTCGATTGTTTGTGAATTGATAAACATCTGCCTCTGTTTTTCTGAAGAGTAAGGTATTGTGCCACGGTTGCAGACGTGGTGTTTACACAATGGGGTACGAGAACTGGGGGCGACTGGAAGGAACGTCCATTACATAGTGCTGGTAGTGGCCTTGGATCCGTGGCGGTCTCAGTACCTGCAACTTTATTTGGAGCGAGCGTAGCACACCGCAATCTTCCTCTTTGCTTTGCCAGACTCTTGGATACATTGCATGATCTCGGATTTAGGACCTGCGGTGCATCACCTTTGCCGCAATTTTAGAGGAACGCTCGTTGAGATGGCTCATTGTGCAACATGGGTCGGCCTTTGATTTTTAGGGTAAAGACGAGACGTCACTTCTGTTCGCCATTTTGTCGACTTTTGCATTGACCGAGATTGGACGCGTACGAGAGCCTTGGGTTTGTGTTCAACTAGCCCTTCTGTTTGGGTTACACAGGTTCAGCTGTGGTATGGTACAGGCCTCTGTGCGTGTGTTTTCCAACTTTTTGTGCCTTGCGGCATTCTTGTTACCGGGAGGCCTGAAGCCTTTACATATGCACACTCGCCGTAATGCACCTGGGCTCCCTTGACATTGGGCCGTACTAAGGTTGCTTGACGCAAGGTTGGAAAATTTGCATGCAGGTCATCTTCACCTTCCTTCGGCTGTCCGTGATAGAACAAAAGGACATTGTAGGGTTGGTTTTTGTGCAAACCCATATGTGCTTGAGTGACTGTGACCCTTTAACAATGTTCCCCTTCAAAGTGAAAAAAAAGGAAAACTTGTCTTCACCTTATGAATGTACAAAGAATGTTTCTGACAATTGCGACATGCCGCGTTGGTACTGCCAAGCAATACAGCACCAAAAATGGGAGAAATGGCGGTCATTAAAAGAAATAACTTTGGAGTTTTCATTAAATAATTTTAGTGTCTTTCTTTGGCAAACCATTGTAGTTTAAGAAAGCACTGCGTGCAGGGCCGTTTTGAGAGGGTGCTTGTTGGTGACTTGATCAACAACTTGTATTCATCAGTAGGATGAGCCTTCGATGTTCAAGCTGCATGGTGGAAGACTCCTGTGATATTATGCAGAAGCCTCTTTGGTATCACCAATTTTTTACCTCTACAACCATGAGAGGGGCTACATTTTGTATTTTAGTTTGCGCACCTAATTTATTTTTGCTTTCACAAGTTTTTTTTTTTTTTTTTTTTTTTCACTCCATGTTCTTAGTTCATTGTATTAAGTCATGTCATCTTCATTTGTCACACATCTCGCCTTTCTTTTTCCCCTGAAGATAATAAATGCTGAGTTCTGTAACTATGTTTCTCTTCGGAAGTTTTACATTATGGTGTGAAAGTGAGCTTTGTTAAGTTATGCAGGTTACCCATAACTAAAGTCGCTGGATACTGGATCCTGTGAAAGTAGTGCTATTGCCTTCCTTGCATGCTAGCCGAACAGGAACAAATACTAACATACAGATAACTAAAACCTCGCAAGGCGACTGGCGCCATTTCGGCCCCTTCAAATCTTGGAGAGGGTCATTCTATGCCAGTCGCACCAAGATCACCGTGGAGCATCATCTTGGCACTGTGTATGCAATCAACTTCTAAATCGTGCCCATATCCACAAATCTTTTACAATATTTTTTTTTTTTTTTTTTTTTTTTTTTGCGTATTAGAAAATTTATTTTGAACGTTGACGCGTGCCTTGCCGGCGTGTGCATAGCAAAATTTCGGTATATACCCGTCGCCAGCGAATTTAGATCGGCTCACCAAGAATGCAGAGGTCAAGGAGAAATTGCTAACTTCATCAGCCATAAGGGCGACCATACGTGGAGCTTGGCACTACATTCCCATTATCCAGTTACTTTATCCCACAAATAAACTGGAAGACCTCAAGACACAAAATGGCGCTGAGAGCTCCACCCCCAGTTGGAGTTGTCGTTGCTCTGCTCCGACGAAGAAACCTCTAGAGTGCCTCAATGTTGTTGGCGCAGCCGGCAAGCAACATTGAGGCACTCTAGAAACCTCCGACCAGTGGCGTTCCTGGCGGCCGCCACGTGACACTCCGGTTCGCCTCCCCGTCGCAAGATGGCAAAACGATCGCGGCGCACGTGACGGCCGCTTTGTCAGCTCTCATTGGCCGGTACGTGCTGCGTTATCGCGTTTTTCAAGAAAACCCTAAATATACTTGTGCCGGGTGGCGGTGTGCGGTGTGCCCTGGAAAGCCTACCTACCGAGGAAGTCCCCCGCAGCAGGCGCCGACGAAAAGGACCAGCAAGCGCTTTCGCTCACACACACGACACGCCGAGCGGTATTTAGGTCGTGGCGGACTCGAGTGCCACACCAGCGATACAGCGCCGCTATCGAGTTGCCGACGGCGGGCTAAACGTTACAGCGAACCCGACACGCGAAACTTCGAAGCATCGCTCAGCCTGTGCTCGTTCTAAGGTTGCCCCGAGGCCGACATGGGAGACGTGGGACCTTACCAAGACGGTTACATGGAGCAAGAAGAGGAGTGGGAGCGGGAAGGTCTGCTCGATCCGGCATGGGAAAAGCAGCAGCGCAAGGTATGTCTGTGGTGCCGTCAAAACAGCTTCGTCGGCCCTCCCTCGATCGTTCGAACGCGATCGGTAGGCACCGCTTCGTAACCGACGCGAGTGTCGGTGTCATATCGGCCCGTCTGTGTGGCTGTCTATCATCGGTTATTGAGACGGCAGATCTGAGCTGCGGCGGCGTCATCCGCTTTTTCGCTCGGGCATGCGTTTTGCAGGTCTCAAGCCTAACACAGTTGGTTGCGAGTAGCAGCGCTCAGCGTTAGGTACACTTCGTTTATTTATTTATATATTTTCTTTTCCGCTGCCTCTACCCCTACCGAGAGAGATAGTAATAAACTGATCGCCGGGGGGAACCTTGTTTATTAAACGAGAGAGGCGGCAGTCGCGTTGGAGCAGAAAATGTTGGTAGTTTCCGGTTCCACGGCAGTCGGCGACTGTCTGAAAAAGAAGTAAAACGACTTCCCGAAGCCAAGAATCTTCTCCATCATTAAAAGTCTCGGTTTCCACGGGCACGCAGCGACCAGTTTGTAGCGTAGTGACCCAAAAAAAGGGGGAAAGCGGAAAGATCGGAAGTCCAATTCCAAGTGTCCTTTCCTCACCTGACGTTCCTTTTTTCTTTTTCTTTTTTGTTATTGTCGAGTGCAAACTAGTTTTTTTTTCTTTTGAATCGAGTTTAATTGGCGAAAACCAATGTCTTCCTTGCATGGGAGACCGGACGTTAACTACCGTTACTAAACGCCTGTTCACTCGATACCTCGGAAACGGTCGTCTCCGTTTTTGTTTATTTCTTAATGTTACCCCCCCCCCCCCCCCCCCCCCCCCCTTCCCCCTCCCCTTAGTTAACATTGGGACATTCCTAAAATATATGCGCGAGTGACCGCGTTGAAAGGTTTTGCAACCGACTCTTCCCCTCGCGACCGTTTCGGTTTAGCGGACTTGGATTTCCTGCGTTTATTCGTGGTCTACTCATAAAGCAAACGAAGTAGGTTCTGTCTCTTCAAGTGGACGTGCTGAAAAGTTCGCGTCGGTGTGTCATCGGCTGCGGATTTTGTGGGAGAGGCCACGAAACGGGCGGCCCGGGGCGGTTTCGGGCCGGGTTCCAAGTTCCGTGCCCTATTTAGGGCGCCTGGATACCTCGCTAGGGTCGGCTCGGGTGTCACGGGAGCCACTGCTGCGGGCTCCGGCCCTTTGGCAGTGCTCGGAGTCTAAAACCTTTCCTTTGGCGTTCGTTCATTTTTTCCCTAACCATTCCTCCGACTAGACTCAAGTTGTCCATCTCTGGTAGCATCCTCCGACGGTGAATGTGTTTTCTGCTGAATGTCGTCTCGGTCGATTTACCTTTGGAGGTCAAATGGATTAGGATAGGTGTTCTCCGCTCTGGTCCGCGTTCGAAGCATTCGTCGACCTCTGCCCTCCGGTAGTTCTCCTTCTCTTGGTGTCAACTTTCGTATTCGGGTTACTTAATAGCTGACATTAGCAGCCGTCTGCAACAGCGATTTGAGGATCGTGATAGCAGACGTGGAGTCCTGTGGTCATCCGCCAGACCCGATAGAGGCTATGTACGAATTTTCCTTCGTGATTTTGTAGCATAGGAAAACCACGACTTGCTGGCGTGCTTTCGACTCATTTAAGGTCACGAAACTCGATTCATTGGCTCACTTTTTATTTATTTATATTTGGGCTAGTTTAAATTTCTCCCCGTTTATCTCCGGACTCTCGAAAGAGTTTTCATTTTTTTTTTTTACTCGCTGCTGTTGTGTATTTTATTGGTACCGTAATTGTTTCCTACATTTAGTAGCTCTTCGCAGGCACGTAGTACTAAAAACAAAAGAAAAACGAGAGCAGAAAACAGCAGATTGAAATAACGGAGAAGATGCAGGCGAGCTGGTGAACTTTCGACATCTTAAACACCCGAGGCTACAAAAAAAAAAAAAAAAAAAAAAAAATAATAATAATAATGGGCATGCAGGTCTTAACCCACCGGTATGCGGACCTGTTGTTCCTAGTCCCGAGTGTCCAAGGTGTAGAGTGGAACTTGCCTACGCACGGCACTATTTGCCAAATGGCGGGGTCATTTTCGGTTTGCTGATCGAGCAGCGGGCGACCTGTGATTAGAAATAACCCTACGATCGTTCAAAGGATATTGACAAGATTGAGAGCAGACGGAAGTGTTTGCAGAACTTCGAAGGACAATCGTAGACGCAGCATCCAATTGTAGGCTCCTCGTCGTCACTGTACGGAGGATCAAGTTAGTTCCCGACCTCTTGTAACACGATTTCTCGCGTCGCAAAGGAAGCCCTGTTGTGCACGTATCGACCTTTCAAACTGCTCCTCGCCGAACGGAACGTTCAATGACGAGTTTCCCATTAGCACGCTCGCGCGGTTATGTTAATGCGGTGTTCTCGCGCAACACGCCGACTAATGAATAAAGGCTGACGCTGCCAGGCCTCAAGATGGGGATTGAAAGAGCCCACGTGACTTCCGGAATCTTTGACGTCACGCATGGCTGGTGCGCATGCCCAGTGCCCACAGCTCGTGTGTGAAAACACGCCCGTTTATAAACACCGCGTCGGTGTCAGGCACGGCCAGAAGCTTGATATTCGGGTGATCGCTCGGCTGAGCAAGTCGCTCGCATCGCACGCTGTCGGCGAAGTCACGGACGGCTGGCCCCGCATAACCTTCGACGGCCGTCTCTTCCTCCTCGCCCGCATTAAGTACCGTTACTCCGAAAAGCGCGCTGATCCAACGCCACCTAGATAAGGAGGCTGTGGTTGATCTTGCGTCGTGATCGAATATACGCCGTGTGCAGCTCGCTCCCTTTTCTCGCCAGAGGTCGCTTTCTGCCGGGTCCGTGTATATTTCATCCGTTGTCTTAAAAAATCCAAACAAACCTTAAAAACAAAATTAATTTATTTGTTGATTAACTTCCTATAACGTTGTCCGTAACATGGCGTCTGTTTAGAAAGCGAAGCAGAAAGACCCAGTAGAGACCTTTTTATACTAGGTAATGGAAATTTGTGAGCAGCATTTTAAAACAACAGACCCGTGATCACTACCTGCCATTTGCCAAGATTACAATCTTGGCAAGTGCGGCTTCCTCCCCGAAGTTTTCTTGGTGTACGGCCATCGCCGCACATCAGTCGAGGAGGAATGAACATTGGATAAATGTCGGGTTCCGTGTTTTTTGGGGAAAAATTCCGAAAAACATTCGCCGGTAGAATTTTTGTCAATTCCGATTTATCTGATAAACTCCAAATTCCAATGTACCGATGAAAATAATAATAATAATAAAAAAATGACGATATTTTCCAATTATGTTTAGTCGGCGCAGAGGGTCGATGGTCCTGAGAAAATGCCACCCCAGTTTTCTTTGAAATCTCGGACCATTGTCAGAGGGGATCTTCCCACTTATCTCGTCAAGGTTCATTCGGGACAACAGGTCATTGTACCTGTGGGCCGCGACAAAATCCACTGTTCCACCGTTTTATCGTGGGCAGCGCCATTTTGAATACTGTGGTGCCATCTAGCGAGCGTCAAGTTCCGCGGCCATGCTGAGTGATTAGAAACATTGGCAAAAGTACTCTTCGGGTCGCCGCTCCCGCGTCGGGTGTGCTAGTGGGGTGTTCCAGAGTGTTGGGTACCCGACCTAGGGCGCGTCTTGTGGTCTTGTGTGCCCCGGATGGTGTTCTTAAACTCATTGGGAACTTTGTATGCCCCGGATTATGGCACCCGCCAGTTGCTGCGAAGCCTAGAAGTGCGGCATGAACGCGCCACCGATAGAAGCGATCGAATTTTCCTTCTGTCTTTTTGTTGTTTTTTGTCATTTTGTATGCAGTAAGTACACCGATAATAGTTTTGGCGTTTCGTGGCGTCCACAGCTATGAAATGTATATTGCGAACAATATACTTTAGGTGAGCCCGGTAGTGATAAAGTTAAATGCGAGAAAGAATAAAGCATGAAAGACGTACAAATGTGTTGTTTTGTCCGCCCTTCGTGTTTTCTTCTTTTTTATATTTAATGGGAAGAAGGATGCACGAAATAAGAGCATTGCAGGGAACTATGGGAGCTAGGCAGCTCCCCCCGGCTTACAGATGTTTAGAAGGGTTCTAATAGAGGATTCCGTGTCGGCGACCGTGTCTTTTTTTCTAGAACTGAAAGCAGCGAAGTCGAGACTGGCCCATTGCCGGAGCGAGTCGATCAATGATTCAACGATTCGAAATCGATACATGAGCATGTTTCAGCAATACATATTGAAGTATCCTTTCCAGCTACGTTATCTACTAATTTGCAAAATAAGAAGAGCGCAGTCGCGTTTTGACGTTAAACGTAAGTTCACGGCTCTCTGCTATCGCGCAGGAGATCGCGATTCAGGAGAACCGGTGCAGTTAACTTTTCGACAATTTCCAGCCACTTTTGGCGGCGGAAATGAACCTTCAGTTAAGCGTTGTAGATGATAAAATCCAGTATATGGTTACGACCAAGACAAATTAAGTTGCGAAAAGTTGCAAGCTGAAACGGTGATTCTCACGAGAAGACTTGCGCCACCTTTCGAGCCTATGTACATCGAGGGTAAGAGTGGTTAGTTCGGTGCGCGCTCTATTCATGAAATGTTCCGAGCACACTCGAGAGAATGGTGTCGGAGAAAAGTGTTTTCGGACGCAACCCACTGCCTCCGGAGGTTTTGGTCATTTGGAAGACATTGCAGCCGCATTGTCGGATCCCGTGCACGATACAGATGTCATCCGATAATATTCTGCGCTTTCGGTTGTTGTTCGTGCAGCCTACTGCCGAGTAGTGATGTCCAGTGGATTGTCTTCATCGATTCCGCTAGCTCTAATTACATCTGGAACCCCCCCACCGCGGGGTAGGTTGTTGGATAGGATCCCAGCGACTGCTTCCGGAAGGGAATTTATTGATTGGAAGCTACCGACGTTTATCTAAGCAACACTTGTTGGCAACTTTATGCGTGGGACAAATTAGTATACTGCCAGTGGCAATGGCGCCAACCCTG